CAGCAGTGATTCTCCAGGATCCGAATCCGAGGTTTCCTCACTGAGCCCTGTTAAAAATAAACATCCAGATGAAGATGCTGTGGAGGCCGAGGAGCATGAGGTGAAAAGACTGCGGTTTGACAAGGAAGGTGAAGTCCGAGAGACAGCCAGCCAGACGGTGTGCAGTGACGGCTCGGGCAGAGCACAGGAAGCCGAAGCAGCGTCGTCCCCTCCGGAGCAGGACAGGGAGAGTCGCAGCAGGCGGCACTGCACAGAAGAGGAGGAAGAGGAGGAGGACGAGGAGGAAGAGGAGGAGGAAGGTGAGAGGGGAGAGTTCCCTGACTCTGCACACAGCGGTGGTCCTCACCATGCTGGTACAGGGCTCTGGTCACACCTGAGTGTGGTTGCTAACGAACTGTAGATAATAGAATTCATGGAACATAGCTGGGTGTATTTTGAAAATCAAATTTAACTACAACATTTGCTTATTTTTAGAATCTTTTATGACACCAAGAGAAATTGTCCCAGAAAGGAAAAATCAAGAAAAAGAATCTGAAGACACCTTAGCTGTGAATGAAGAGCCTTCAGAGGAGGGTACTCACATGGAGGACTCGGACCGGTCTCCAGCTCAGAGAGATCCTCCCCCAGAAAGGAGGGACAGCGCAGGGGCTGTGAGGAGTGGTTCTGACTGCCTGGAGACAGAAGAGCCGGGAGGGCCCAGGAAAGCTGGAGAAGGTGTCTCGGGGTCACCCATGGAGAACGACGATGATGAAACCACAGACGTCACAGACGAACCCATGGAGCAAGACTTAACGACTTAGAAACACTTAGAGGCAGTATTTTACATACAGTTCTGGTTTTACACTGTATCAACCTTTTAAGTAATAAAGTGGACCTTTAGTTTTACAAGAGAAACAGGCTGTAAAATAAAGAACCTTAAGAATAAACCCTGAAAGAGTTGTACGGGGAAGAGCTGTGAATACCGGCTCCTCTAGGTCCCGCTTATTGCTGATTTTCTTGTTTTGTTTGGTTTTTGCTTTTTTTTTTTTTTTTTTTCCTCTCTTTCTTTTTTGGTGTACTCAAATCAGTGGTTTGTGTATAGATTTTTTTTTTTTAACTTAGAATTAAAGTTTTTAAACTGGAAGATAATTATAATTTTGAAAACTTTTTAAAGATGATCACATTTGGTTTATACATACACAAGGAAGATTTTTGTCTTGTCTCTAGTGGTTTCCATATTTCAGTCATAGTTTGAACATGTTAACATGTGAATTATAGGGTTTCATGTGGTTTCAGATTCTATTGTTCAACTGTACAATGGAACTTTAAGTCATATATACATATATAGATTATTCTAAGGGGGAATGTTATATTTTTCTGTTTCTATAAGAGATGAATACAGTGAATACTTTTTTATTGGTAATGACTGAGTTCACTTCTTTCAGAAGACATTTTCTTTCTCTTCTGAGTAATTGAGATAAAATCTGGCCCCTGTAAAACCCTGGCAATCTTTAAGTCTGTTGAAATACCAGGATAAACACATTCCAAGAGATCTGTGCAAACTAAAATTTTTTTGTATACTTCTAAGGTGCCTGAGGAAAAAAAAAAGACTTCATTATTTATGAGAAAATGTGCTTAATGTTGGGAGTTGCGTAGGAGCATCAACTCACTGTTTGGTAGAATGAGTTCTTAGGAGCCTGACAGGAAACCATCTCAGAAGAGCCCGCAGGTCCCGTTTCACTTGCTTTTCTGAACATTGTGACATTACACCTTTATTTCTAAATTATTCTGTGTGCACATGGCACTGCTGTGGAACAGCACTGTACTGGAAGAATTAGGAGGTCCTTCAGTATGTACCTGAGCTAAAATGACTAGAGTTCTAGGGTACACAGAAACCACCATGATTTGTAGAACATTTTGAAGTGAATTAATATTTTTGAACATGCTTCTTCGACAGCCAGTGTTATATTTTTCAGATCAACACAAAGCACAAAGTTACTACTCTAAACTCAATATTTTCAAATTCACATATTTAAAGTCATGCAAGCTGCAACTTCCCTGTCAAAATTACTGGCTGCCAAATTTATACCTGTTTCTTCAGCTGTACCTTTTGATATTTAGAATTTTTAAATTTCTGTAAAGTAGATTTTGTAGACTGTAATGTGTTCACTGCCTTTGTGAAGCGGTATAATTGTATAATTTCGTGTGTAAACTGAATGCTTGGGCTTTCAATACAGTATTCATATAAAGCAATAAATATTAATGTTATGAAATATTTGAGTACATTTTTATCAAAATACAAAAGAATGCCTTTTTTAGTTTCAGACACCTGAGGTACACAGATGGACTTGTAGTAGCTGATGCAAACAGTTTCTCACACTGTATCCTAAGCTTTGGGGGATTTGGAGGGAAGCCACAAGTTTGCATTTTGACTACTTAGACATGACTATGACTAAAAATAACAAGATATTTGGCTCCGTTTGTTCATAGAGTAATATACTACTGACTGACGACCTTCAGGTTCACAGCAGCTAGATATAGTTAGGAATCTGTCTAATAAAATTGAGTGTTGATTTACTGCACCCAAGAGGGGTGAAAATCAAATGTAATTTTTAAAACATTTTGGCAAAAATGTTAAAAAATGAAGCGAATTTTGAATGTGACATTCATGTGTAGTGACCTGTTACTCTATTTTGTTGAGGGATTGCCAGTGAGAGCAGATTTTAACCATTTTAGGTTTAGAAACTTTGAGATTTTCCCTTAGGGTATTTATGAGATTGTTGTCAATAAACCTGTTCTCTAAGCTCCTTTGACCTTTGATAGTTTTTATTTATGGTTCCATGGACCATTTGTAAACAAATCAGTTTGCTGCTGGTTAAAGTTGAAGATTTTAGCATCATGAATGGAGGTCTGTGGTTTTATTTGTAAACTTGCAATTACTATCCTTGCAAGAGAAAATGTATTTCTTTATTAAATAAAGTATAATAATGGTGAATGTAAAAAAAAAAACAGTGAAAAATAGACCCAAAAAAAAGAAAGAAATTAAAAAAAAGAAAGCTCTCAGATTCAGAATTCCCAGAAACATGATTTGTCATGTATAGGAGATGAAAATGAAATATAACAAAAAATAAAGCAGGCCTGGGGAATGGATCTGTGGGAAAGCATATGTCTAGAATCCACTAGGGTGCTCATCTCTCCATGGTGGGACACTGAACAACAGTAGAGGACAGGCCTACTAGTGGCAGATCCTGGATTCATTCCAACACTGAACATAAAAAAAGAAAATCTCTGCCTGTGCCACAATTTGTAATGTCAACCACTGTGGGCTGTAAGGCAGCAAAATTGCAAACTCAAGGAGATCTTGGCAAGTCAATGAGACCCTAGGTCAAAATGAAAAGTAGGAAGAGGGTGTTGAAGTGATGCCTCAACACTTACGACCTGGAGAGATGCCTCAGCAGTTGGGAGCTGGGGAGATGCCTCAGCAGTTAAGTGTTTGATTATCAACACCTATGTTGGGAAGCTCATATCTACCTGTAACTCTATATGCATGGAGATTTGATGTCTTTGCTCTCTAAGAATATTCAGATATACAAATTCATACATATACACACAAATAAAAATAATGAATCTTTTTTTTTAATAGAAATATAGGAGCCAACAAAATAGTTCTCCCATAGGTCCTGGCCACCAAACCTGAAGACCTGAGGTCTAGCCTCCAGGGCTCACGTCATGGAAGGAGACAAATTACCCCTGTCAGGGACTTCTGATCTTCACATGGATGCTGTGGCTCCTGAACACACAAACACAATTTTTCTTTATTAAGAAATTTTCTACTCATTCCACATACCATCCACATATCCCCCCTTCTTTCTCCTCCACACCCAGTCCTCTTTCCTGAGCCATGCATCCCCACATCCCCCAAATCGAGGTCTCCCATGGGGAGTCAGCAGAGCCTAGCACATTGAGCATAGGCAGGCCAAAGTTCCTTCCCACTGAACCAAGGCTATGCAAGGTGTCACACCTCAGGCACTGGATTCCAAGAAGTCTGCCCATAGATCCAGGACAGATCCTGATCCCCCTGCCTGGGTGCCCCCCAAACAGTTCGAGCCAGTCAACTGTCTGCCGTATCCAGAGGGCCTAGTCCAGTCCCATAGGGCTCCACAGCCACCAGTCCACAGTTCATGGGCTTCCACTAGTGTGGCTGGTCATCTCTGCACATCCTCCTAGCATGATCTCCATGTCCCTCACCTGCCGAATCCCTTTTTTCTCTCATCAATTGGATTCCCGGAGCTCAGCCTGGTGCCTGGCCATGGATCTCTGCATCTACCTCCATCAGTCACTGGACAAAGGCTCTATGATGACAGCTAGGTTATTTGCTAGACCACTCACCAAAGTAGATCAGTCCAGGCACCCTCTGAACCACAGCCAGCAGATCAAGGTGGGGTCATCCTTGTGGATTCCCGAGAGCCTCCCCAGAACTCTGCCTCTTCCTATTCCCATGTTGTCCTCATCTATCATGGTATCTTCCTCCCTGCCCTCCCACACTGTCCTTGTTCCAGGTTGACCATCCCATTTCCCTATGTTCTCATCCCCCACTCCTCACCCTCTGCCACCCCCAGAACCCAGTTAGCTCATGTATATCTCATCCACATCTCCTTCACAGGGTCATCCATGTGTCCCTCCTAGGGACTTTTCCTGTTAACTAGCCTCTCTGGAGTTGTGGGTTGCAGTCTGGCCATCCCTTCTCTCACATCTAGTATCCACTTATGAGTGAGTACATACTATATTTGTCCTTCTGAGTCTGGGTTACCTCACTCAGGATGATATTTTCTAGTTCCATCCATTTGCCTGCAAATTTCATGATGTCATTGTTTCTTTTATTGCTGAGTAATACTCCATTGTGTATATGTGCCACATTTTCTTTATCCATTCTTCAGTTGAGGGGCATCTAGGTTGTTTCAGGTTTTGGCTATTATGAATAATGCTGATATAAGAACATAGTTGAGCATGTGTTCTTGTGGTAAGATTGAGCATTCCTTGGGTATATGCCCAGGAGTGGTATAACTGGGTCTTGAGGAAGACTTATTCCCAATTTTCTGAGAAACCACTGTACTGATTTCTGGAGTGGTTGTACAAGTTTGCATTTCCACCAACAGTGAAGAAGTGGTCCCCTTGCTCCACATCCTCTCCAACATAAACTGTCTTCAGTGTTTTGATCCTAGCCATTCTGACAGGTGTAATATGGTATTTCAGAGTTGTTTTGATTTGCATTTCCCTGATGACTAAGGATGTTGAGCAATTCCTTAAATGCCTTTCAGGCATGTGAGATTCTTCTGTTGAGAATTCTCTGTTTAGCTCCGTAGCCCATTTTCTAATTGGATTGTTCAGTATTTTGAAGTCTAGCTTTTTGAGTTCTTTATATATTTTGGAGATCAGCCCTCTGTCAGATGTGGGGTTGGTGAAGAATTTTTCCCATTCTGTAGGCTGTCGTTTAGTCTTATTGACCATGTCCTTTGCTCTACAAAAGCTTCTCAGTTTCAGGAGGTCCCATTAATTAATTGTCACTCTCAGTGTCTGTACTACTGTTGTTATATTTAGGTAGTAGTCTCCTGTGTCAATGCGTTCCAGACTACTTCCTACTTTCTCTTCTATCAAGTTCAAGGTAACTGGATTTATGTTGAAGTCTTTGATCCATTTGGAGTTGAGTTTTGTGCATGGCGACAGATATGGATCTATTTGCAATCTTTTGCATGTTGACATCCAGTTATGCCAGCACCATTTGTTGAAGATGCTTTCTTTTTTTCCATGGTACAGTTTTGGCTTCTTTGTAAAAAATCATATGTTGATAGGTATATGGATTAATGTCAGGGTCTTCAATTCAATTCCATTGGTCCACGTGTCAGTTTTTATGCCAGTACCAACCTATTTTTATTACTATAGCTCTATAGTAGAGCTTGAGGACAGGGATCATGATGCCTCCAGAGGTTGCTTTATTATACAGTATTCTTTTAGCTATCCTAGTTTTTTTCCATATAAAGTTAAGTATTGTTCTTTCCAAGTCTGTGAAGAATTGTGTTCGGATTTTGCTGGGCATGCACTGAATCTGTAGATTGCTTTTGGTAAGACTGCCATTTTTACCATGTTGATTCTTCCATGAGCATGGGAGATCTTTCCATTTTCTGATATCTTCTTCAATTTCTTTCTTCAGAGACTTAAAGTTCTTATCATACAGGTCTTTTACTTGCTTAGTTAGAGTTACCCCAAGGTATTTTATATCATTTGTGGCTATTGTAAAAGGTGATGCTTCTCTGATATCTTTGTCAGCCCCTTTTTCATTTGTATATAGGAGGGCTGCTGACTTTTTTGAGTTAATCTTGTATCCTGCCTCCTTACTGAAGGAGTTTATCAGCTGTAAGAGTTCCCTGGTAGAGTTTTGGGGTGAGTTATATATACTATCATATCGTCTTTAAATAATGAAAGTTTTTCATCTTCCTTTCTAATTTGTATCCCCTTGATCTGCTTTTGTTGTCTTATTGGTCTAGCTAGAACTTCAACTACTATATTGAATCAGTTTGGGGAGAGTGGACAGCCTTGACTTGTTTCTGATTTTAGTGGAATCTCTTTGAGTTTCTCTCCATTTAATTTGATGTTGGCTGCTGGCTTGCTCTAAATTGCCTTTATTATGTTTAGGTATTTTCAATGTATTTCTGATCTCTCTAGAACTTTTATCATTAAGGGGTGTTTTATTTTGTCACAGGCTTTTTCAGCATCCAATGAGATGATCATGTGGTTTTTTTTCTTTCAGTTTGTTTATATGGTGTATTGCATTGACAGATTTTTGTATGTTGAACCATCCTTGCAGCCCTGGGATTTCCGGAGCCTACTTGGTCATGGTGGATAATTTTTTTGATGTGTTCCTGGATTCAGTTAGCTGTATTTTATTGAGTATTTTTGCATCATTGATGTATTTTGCATCAATGTTCATGAGGGAGATTTCTTTCTTGCATTTTTGTGTGGTTTGGGTATCAGGGTAGCTGTAGCCGCATAAAAAGTGTTTGTTAATGTTCCTTCTGTTTCTGTGCTGAAACCATATGGTCCTAGCCTTTTTTTTTTGGTTGGGAGACTTTTTTTTTTAGATCAATTCAGGCTTTCTCATGACCATTGCCTATTGTGGAGGTATCTTTGTGGATTTCTTGGGACTTCTCTAGCACTTTGCTTCTTCCTATTCCCATGGGGTCTTCATTTATCATGATCTCGTTTTCCTTGCTCTCCTTCTCTGTTTTTGATTCAACTAGTACCTCCCACTCCCCTAACCTCTCTTCCCCTCAACGCTTGCCCTTCATTAACCCCCCTCACATCCAATTTGCTCATGTAGATCTCATACATTTCTCTGTTGTTTGGCAATCCCTGTGTCTTCTTAGGTCCTGTTTTCAGCTCAATCATACCACAAAGACACATGCTCAGCTATGTTCATAGTAGCATTATTTGTAATAGCCAGAACCTGGCAACAACCTAGATGCCCTTCAACTGAAGAATGGATAAATAAAATGTAGTACATATACACAATGGAGTACTACTCAGCAGAGAAAAACAATGACATCATGAGGTTTGCTGGCAAATGGGTGAATATAGAAAAAAATCATCCTGAGTGAGGTAACACTGACTCAGAAAGACAAACATGGTATGTACCCACTCATAGAAGGATAATAGATGTAAAACAAAGGATGACTAGACTGCTACTCACAAGTCCAGGGAGGTTGGGAGACTTTTAATGACAATTTCTATTTCCTTAGGGGTTATTGGTTTGTTTAAA